GCAGGAAGTTACTATATTCAAGAGCACAATTACAGAAATTAGTACTTAATCAGCATATTGGTTGTTGAGGGTTTCTCCCCCTCCCCAGTAGATTTTTTTTACTTCTAAGGAAAACTACAAGATCAGCTCATGCCATGTCAGTATTCAACGAATAATTTAAAACTGAATGTCTGGCAATATTTTAAATAATGTATCCTGGTGTTGTTGGTTTTTTCCCCTTGATGTGTCTCAGAAAAAGTTGAATAATTAAAAAATATATAGATAGCCAGTGCCCAAGCCATCATATGCTTGTCTATCCTTCAAATTTTGCCATATTTTGAATTATCTGATTCTCAAGCATTAACAAATTAAGTGGGGCTAAGTCTTTTTTACCATAAAAATACGTAAGTGTTACTTTTTTGGGGTCAATAGTTTTTTGGGTTTTTTTCTAATGGTGCTTTGTTCATGTTCTTTGAATCCAGAATACACAGGTGCCCTCAAAACTTATCAAATTATATGAGGAGTGTCATTTTTAACCTTTGCCCCCCAAATTTTTATGCTCTAGATTTTTGACTCATGTTTATCTTTTGTTTTAAATACACTTTGTTTAACTATTCTTATATTGTTCTTTCAAAATCTCAGTTTGGTTAGCTCATGTACCCTAAGCATCTGTGAAGCCTTTCTAAGTTAGTAGATTTCTTTTATTGTTTGGATAATATGATACTGCATTCTGTGTGTAGGTGAGTTGTTAATGAGTATTTATAAAATGGTTTGATATCCTTATATTAAAAGTCTTGTGGAAGTACATTTTTTTTTTACTGGTTATTAATTAGAAATTGATGTAATTTTTAATGGATATAATGGTATTAATTAGGGCTGTGTAAAGCTTTGGTAGCCAATTCAATTCGGATATGATTTGGCCTGATTCGGTGACCGAACCTCTAAATTCAGATTGAATTGGGAAACCCATTAGAAGGTCAGAAATAAATTGGAAGCCTCCAGATCAATTCAGAAAAGTTTCAGCGCTGATTCAGAGATTCGGTCATAGACTAAACAGGCAGCAGTCTGTTCCTTCCACAGTGAAGGAAGGATTGGGGCTGGGGCTGGGACAAGCTGCCCAACCGGGGTGTGCAGATTGATGCTCCCACAGTGAGGGAAGGATTGGGGCTGGGACCAGAGCTGGGGCAAGCGCTGCCCAGGGAGGGAGGGTGGGGTGACTAACGCTGCTGTATGCCACTGGTCTGGGAGCTGCTCATGTGGTGGCTTGTCCAGTGGCTCTCGCTCTTGCTCCTGTCACTGGCCCGAGAGGGCATGTGGTGGGGGCATGTGGCCCAGGAACTGCACAGGGCAGGCAGGACTGGGGCTGAGCCAGACAGAAGACAGAAGGTGCTGGGAGTAGGGATAATGCCCCCATGCCACTCACCCAGCTGGTGTGGGGTCAGCGTGAGACTGAGCTGCTGCACTGCTTCCAGATAAGCAGGGTGAGCCAGCCCGGCCTCCCCACACCTCCTGAATGAGCCCCGGCTTTCACCAGCTGGGTGAGTGGTAGCAAGACATGCAGAGGGTGGAGACATGTACCTCCAGATCGGGGCAGGGCGGGCAGGAGAGCGGGGACTATGTGGGGGCTGCAGCAAGTTTTTGGGTGGCACGTTCCCACCCTATACCCTGCTGCCACTCACCCAGCCAGGGTGAAGCCACCATGAGGTGTGGGGAAGCCCAGCCAGCTCCTGCTGCTGCATGCCGCTTGTCCAGAAGCAGCACAGGGGCTCAGTCTCACACTGGCCCCACACTGGCTGGGCTAGCAGTGGCAGGGCATAGCCCCCACTTCCAGTGCCTTCTGCCTTTCACCTGGCGCATCCCCAGGCCTACCTGCCCCATGCAGATCCTGGGATACATGCCCCTTCCACATGCCCTCTCAGACTGGTGGTGGGAACAGCGGCAAGAGCTGCCAGACAAGCTGCCACATAAGTAGCTCCCAAACCAGTGGCACGAGCTACCCCACCCACTCCCTGGCCAGGACTGTGCTGTGGGTGGCAAGCCCCCACTGCTGGGCAGTGCTCTCCAGGGCAGGTGGAGCCAGGAATGCACTCTCGGAGACCAACCCCAGTCACCCACTGCTGAGCTGCACTCCATGAGTCAGGTGGAGCCAGAGCTGCACTCCAGGTGGCTAACCCTAGCTGCAGCCCAGAGCACAGCCCTGGCTCCGCCCACCCCACAGAGCGCAGCCTAGCAGTGGTGGCTAGCCACCTGGAGCACAGCCCTGGCTCCACCCTCCCTACAGAGCACAGCTCAGTGGCAGGCAGCTGGGGATAACTTCGCAGAGTGCAGCCCAGCCCAGGCTGCCCCACACAGATATGGAGGCACATGCCCACTCCCATGCCCTCCCAGACCAGCCACGCGCAGCTGCGGGAGCTCCCCTCCTGAGTCTTGCACTCCCCACCCCGGCTGGGCAGCTTGTCCCCGCCCCCGGCC